AATTCAATAGATTTATCTGGCTCTGACAAGTAATGGATCTGCAATACTTAGATAAGTTTTTGGAACTTTTCTTTATTTATTAACTACAGTAATATGCAAGTAGTTTTATCAGTCATTAAAGAGCTTTGTGTGTGTAAACATTTAAGCATGTCTTGAAAAGTTCAGCCAATTAATAGGATTTATGTCAAGATAGAAAGTCAGGTGTCTGTTGAAATTTGAGCAGAAAATATGAAAATTGTTTATTCAAGTATTTTTCTGTTATAAACATTTGGACCAAGAATAACAATTGACATGCATTTAAACTTTTGACAAAGTTGGATGGAAAGCAAGAAGCTAGAAGGTAGTTCCACAGGTAAGAAGTGCAAGAAAAGAAACTGTTAGCAAGAACTTATAATTATATCTAGCCAATTCAACTGTAAAATGATGAGTGCTGTTGTTGTCAATCAAATACTGCACTTAAATTCATAGTCTAGCTACTACATAAGAAAGTAATATTTATTTTGAAAATACAAAAATGTGGCACAAGGCCAAAAGGCAGGATGTGGGGGAAGGCTGGTCTTCAATCTGTCTCATCTTAAACTTAGCTATCGACAATTACTGACCCAAACATACCATATGATTCTTTACACAAAAACAAAACATTTTTACTTACCATTCTTACTACAGCTTCAGCAATTAGTTGGAGATTTGTCTCCAGCTGTGCTGGTCGAACTCTCTGCCTTCGGGCAGAGAGGAACCTAGACAAGGCTGTGCCGAAGGGCAGTCTCATCTGGGGTGGTAGACAGCTACCCGGCCCCGTTTTTTATGGGGTCTACAGGGAATTTTTACCCGAGCCTATGGGCTTCCTTTTGCCACACATTAAAAAACGGCCTTGTGCCACATTCTGCCTCATGGAGTGGTAAGTTAAATAACCTTACTACAGTCACCATAATACCTCAAAGTCTCTATGAAGTCCTAACAAGTTCCCATATGTACAATTTGTCCATATAAGAAAGTACATTGGAACAATTATCATGAACGTATTTATAGAAAAGGACAGGGAAGCTACATTACAGTGGTGGGAAAGTGACTGAAGCCGAGGTAAGATTGCAGATTCTTCTTTGGATTTCATCAAGAATTTCTAAATATATCGCAGAAGCACCAGACCCTATACAGCAGTAATATTTAAAGCATAGATCAATGGTAGACTCATAAATATGTAGGATAAGTCCTGGAGAGGAAAATTGTGTAGCACAACACAGTGAACCAACTTTCTTTGCAACAGACCTATCAGTTGATTCAGTAATAATCTTATCACTTTGTCGATGAATGTTAGCCCAAGACATTGCAATGAGTCACTCTCCAGAAGGTTAGCATTAGTCACATTAACCCTTGAGTGGCTTATGGCTATATCATATTGAAACACCAGTTCTTGTACAATCACCAAAGTTAAGCATTATCAAGCCTGGTCATTACCGAGATGGGTTCTGAGAATACCAGGTGCTGTAAGCTTAGATGTGCAAAATATTAAGAACATTGCTTAAAGATATGAAATCACCCAAATTATCACCTTTTAAGAAAAAAACACAAAAAATGTGTAATTTTTAAAACTATGTAAAAACTGATGGATAAGTTTTCACAACAGTAATTTTTACAGATGAATGTAGAAGATAGACTTAATGGCTGGACTAGAGGTTAGCTCCTTCATGGAGTAAGTCAACAGATAGGAATATGAAATGGTTATCTAGCTTTGGATGGCAGCCAGTCTAGGACAAAAACAACTCTGAATTCCAAGAAAGCAACAGAAAACCAATCTGTCTTTTCCAAGATATTGTGACAATTTACGATTTCATAAAGAAAAGGAATCTGAAGACTCGTGTTCATCTGTGTCTTGGAGAGTTTTAAAAATAAAACTTGTTTCCTAAGTGATGTAATGGAATAACCTGTCACCCCCTTGAGTGACTACACTATAGGTAGTAGCTACCTATAAGTATCTGTAAGTCAACAGACTACAGAGTCTAGCTGTGATCTGTTAAGTACGACTCAGATTTACGCAAGAACTACCAACCTTCCAATAGTAGCACTCGCTACTGGATTGACTTGCGACAACCTTGTGCATAACTGTTACCTTTATTCTTATTGTACTGGGTTTTACAATAAACCTTTACTTATTTTATCCACCTTGTTTTTCAAGTATATATTCCTATTAGCACGGAACATAACACTAAGCATTGATTTGTTTTGGCACAAAGCCACAAATATAGGATACCCAATGAAGATCAAACTCACTACTCAGTAGAAATGGCCAACTAGGCTAACTCACTAATCATTACTATCTTTATTTACTTGTTCTTTTTGGTACTTTATCAGCTATACTTATATCTTTAGTTTTATTGGGGTTTATATGCAAAGAATGCCAGACAAATTTAATGTTTTTATTTAAGAAATTATACAGATAATACTACTGTCTTATCTTTAATACTTGTTACATCCCGACTACTGACATTTCTCTTGCAAAATTGTTGGTAATGCTTTAACATTATGCATATAATATCCCTCTTCACTCAATAAGCATTCAGTAAATTCTTGACCATAAAAAATTCATTTCTATATTTGCAATGAATTTATATATTATATTAATATGCATTTATTGAATACATATAGCAACACAAGTTTGTTAGTAATTCTTGCACTAATCCACTGACAATTCATTTTGATTTTTTTTTTTTTTAATTATTTCACTCCTAGCAAGGCAATAATGCCACTAAGATGCAAGCATTTACTGGGAGTAAAAGGAAATGAGAAAGCTTTAGTGAGGAGAAAGGATAATAAAATAGAATTTAGGAAGACTGAAAGTGATAATTGACACTGCATTTAAATTTTTAAAGGTTGTACGTGGCGGTGAAGCAAGAAACAGGAAAAGAGTCGACAGTGTGAGAAAGGGAACTATTAAAATAGAACATATGATTACATTCAGCAAATGTGACACAAGGCCAAAAGTATGGAGCACAACCTGAAAATATGTGTAATAATGATAGTAACAGTTATGGATGTTTTTGACAGCATGTGAAAATGAGTTACACAAGCAAGTGCTGAAAAGTTCTTGCACTGACCAAGAAACCCTTACTGAAAAAATACTCTGATCTTTGATTATTTGGTTAAATTTTAGTGAGTCAAGCTGATAACATTTTAGCATCCCCATCATAATATCTTCATGATGGCATTAATTCCTGACCATTGATAATTCCTTTTTCCTGATTTTTCAATGCACAATATAAATTGTATGTTGAAATTTGTTAAAAAGCAAAATAATTGCAACATTTATGATTTTAATCCTCAACTTTGCTTTTATAACCAGAAATGACTCAAGGGAAAAGATGTTGAGGGAAGGGTGAGTTTGAAAGTCATTGAGCAAAATTAAAGGTGAAATCTTGTGAGTGTATGCACACACTCTCGTATATATAATCTGAAAAGGCCAGAAAGATTACTGTGCAAAAAAAAAAAACAAAAAAAAACACTGTAATATTAAGTTTATAGTTGTACTGGGAATTTGAATAATATAATAAAGAGGCAAAATGTAATGAATGTGGATATAAATGGACAAAAAAGCAGTGAAAGTAATATACTATGTAATCTTGGGAACAAAAGTAATTGCCCTTTAAATGGGATGTGCTAAACAAAGGGTATGGTTTACTAGGCTGAGGTTATTGATGACAGTGGCCAAAGGAGAGTTTTCATTGGATATACCAAGGGTTTTTTTTTTTTTAAAGAAATGCTGGTAAACCATGCTTCTTTTAGGGTACAGAAGTGCAGATATAATACAAAGCTGGTGGATCATGTCTGGAAATCAAAAGAACATGGTAAGTCGGAGTATAAGATGGAGCATTTTGAGGAGAGTAAGATCTGATAGGTGTGGCAGCAGCTGTAACTTGTGTTGGGAGAAGTTGGCAATAGCTATATATCAGGGCAATGTGGTGTTGTTGAACAAGAGAATGGAAATCATGTCAAAATGTAGACACATGGACAAGAATGTTCTACCTTTTATGACCCCGGATGAAGAAAAATAAATTTATTTTTTTTCTGTCGCACTTCCTCCCCTTCTTGACTTTCAGTGCCATAGCAGGATAAAATTGGTGTGCATTGAGGAACACTTGTTACCTAGCCATCTGACAAGACCTCAGGCAAAACCATGGTAGTGTGGTAGGATAGTATTTTACCTTTTTTATTGCATTATTTATATGTGTGGAAAAAGATTTTGTGTGACATGTTTTGTCCTTTAGGATTTCATCAGACTAAATTTGTTATGTTAGTGCAACTACACATGCACATAAATGAGGGATGCTGGGAATTTTAATTTTTTTTTAAATCTAGCAGGTTTCATTTAGATTCTTTCCATCACTTTTGTTATAGTGTTCTCTCTCTCTCTCTCTCTCTATATATATATATATATATATATATATATATATATATATATAGTGAAGGTAACAAATCCATTGGCATATAATCCAAGTGGATCCTAGTAATATAAAATATTAAAACTGATCCACAAAAAAAGCTCAATGTATTTATTATTACAAAGCAATGTAATTAATAAAATCCCAAATCACCTTGTATAGGGAATATATATCGGTTGTCTGGCTTATCAACCCTGGTGTGAAATCAGTCCACACCAGGGTTGATAAGACATATGATTAATATCTTCATCTGTCAAAATAGGCTATGCCCCATGTGAGGTGATTTGGGATTTTATTGTTTATTATAATATATATATATATATATATATATATAAAAGCAGTGTTAAAATGAAACCAAGATTGTTTCTTTATTTTTCTCCCTTCAGCTCAAATGAGCCAAGGCACTATGTGTGTGAAATATCAAAATTATTCGAACAAATAAAGCTTTGATGTTATTAATAAATCCTACATATGACATCATGGTTATGTAAATGCCTATTATTTATTATTAGATAATCATTTAAGAAGCTTCTTGCTTACTGAACTTTTTATTGTTTCTTTTTTTAGGTGAGGCAATATATCAAATATCTGAAGTTTATAAAGAGATTCAAGCTCAAATTGAAGAACAGGTAAATAATTAGCTTCCTTTTTTCTTTTTCTTTTTTTTTTAATTTTTTTTTATTATTGCTCAAATATGGAACCAAGTTTTACTTGTGTGTTGGTTTGCTTTATTTTTTAATTTTTTTTAATTTTTTGGTGGGATCATTGTTTGTCTTTTTCTTTTTTTTTTTTTTTTTTTTGTACATTCCAAAAATTAATTTCTCATTTATTTATGTGTGTGTGTATGTGTATGTATATATATATATATATATATATATCACAAAGTTCCAAACAACCTACTAGGTGACCAAAAGAAAACAAGAAAAACATCTACTAACAACAAATCAAGAAAATCTATACAACAACAAGAAAATAAACAAAGGAAAAAGAAAAAAAAAACACCTACATAAACAGTAACCAACAGTGCTCAACACCCAGATTATTATTAGGACAGAACAAAAATGCTTCACATTGTACCACAAAAGAGAAAAATCATCAGGTAACCAGAATCGGGTGTATTTAGGCAAAATTTCCTTTTTTTATGCTTTGTTTAAGACTACCAAAAGTTCTTTAAGAATTTTAAAATTTATTTTTATTATATTTTGGTATCAGGTACATATTCAAATATAAATTGTCCAGTCTCTAAGTACTTTTGCCTATCATTAGCCAAAAGTGCTTTCATTGGGATATTTATATTTAAATATGTACCTGAAACCAAAATATTGATAAATTAAAAAATCTTAGCATAAACTTTTGTTGGTCTTCAACCAAACTTTTTATATATAAAAAATTTGTATTTGGGCTGTAATCCCTCTTTTATACAAGTTTCATTAAAAACAACTGACTAGGTACTGTGGTTAAGTTTTTTTATTTAATTTCTCTATAATTTTTTCTTTTTTGACAATTTCTACATAATTTATGTACAGAAAAAAAGAAAATAATAAGAACACAAGAAAAATTAAATAAAAATCTTAACTACAGTATCTTGTCAATTGTTTTTAGTTAAATTTATATATAGGAGGAACAGTGGAGTAATGGATAGCATCTTGGATTGAGGAATCATAGAGCTGAGTTCAAATTCCAGTTGAATCCATTACATTCACTTACATGCTAATACCCTTGGGAAAGGTATTAATCCTTTTCTTCTTCCCCCAGCTATGGGTAAATAGCAGGTTCTAACCTTGGATGGTATCTTGTCTAGGAGAAGGACAACTCTGAATTCAAAACCTATGGAGGGTTGTTTAGGGACCTTGTGGCACGTAGTACACCAGGTCTCTGTATTCAGCCCTTCAAAAAGTGTGGTTGGGTCTGCACAATGTCTTGACCCCTATAATCAAATCATATGTACTGGTGTCTGATTGTCAGTTCCTATGAACTGAGTTGCTTGACCCTCATGTGTTGAATACAACAGGAGAATCCACCATATAAATGAGGGATCAATACAAAGTAGAGCAATATTTTTTATTTTAGGATATTACACTGAAAACACGTCAAAATCGCTGCACAATCATGTTTCAATGCATATCAATGATCCCATCAAGCAACTGTAAATTACTGGCAAGTCAATAATTTATAGTAGCCTGATGAGATGTATTGATAAGCATCGAAACATGACTGCAATTATGTAGTGATTTTGACATGTTTTCAGCTAATATCCTAAAATATATATGTTTGTCAGTTGATTTTTTTCGAAAACAATTTCATTCTTCTGTTTATTCACAAAAATCAGAGGAGAAAAAAAAATGTATATTATAAAACATAATGTAACTTTATATTGGCTGCACAACTTGAGCTCCCCTTCTTAGTATAATGAAATATTCAGATGTTATAGTAACAAGAGGCATTACTCAATGTCAATAAGCAATTATACCAGGATATCTCATTAGTAAATAATGGTGATCAATCTGTTAATACAGTGCTTTTTATTTCTTTAGTTTTGTGTTAGCTCTTTGGGTATTTTTATTTTAATAATTTAAAAAGCAAAATTCTTTCTTATAAATGACAATCCATTTAATTGTAGAGATAAAAATCAGATTATTTCTGCAGAAAATATCATCAGTATAACTACAAAATTAATTATATAACAAGAATACAAGAGGCCACTGAAAAGTTCTCACCCCAACCAAACAGTCCTTCCAAAATACAAATTTGATGTTTGGTCATTTTGCCAGATTTTAGAAAGTATGTCAGACAAAATACTTTTTAGTACTCCCTCATATATCACATGATTTTATTTTTAAAGGGCAGATAATTTTCTCTGCATGAAATTTCAATGTTTTTTCAATTGTTTCCTTTCTGTGAATGGAATGACTACAAAGAGAAAGTAAGAAAGTTGATGATAAATGAGGATTTGACTCTGACTTTTACCCCAGCATTAGATTTTGACCTTTTACATAAAAGAATTAATGGTAGGAGGGTAGAATTTTTACAAAAGTAAGAGTCTAAAGATGAAGACAAACTACAAAAATTGAATTTTTGTTTTTTATTTCTCTAAATTTATTCTTTACCAGAATAATCTTTTATCAGTACTCTCTACTCATTTCTACACTTATCCACCGATAAATGCAGAATGTAAATTATTCTGGTTATCCTAACATTGTGTACACTGGAATAGTTATTTTGTTTTTTCCTATAGCAAAAGAAATTTAAAAAAAAGAAAACAATTCTTATTTTGATCACTGTAAAATTCTTCTTTTTGAAGAAGGAAAAATGTTTTTTTGTTTTTACTGGAATTACCAATTTGTTTTTATTTTCAATATCTGTTTATATTTTTGAGATGAGGTATTGTAGCTATTTACACAATTTACATCATTCATTTTTTTTCTCATCTTTATTGCCATATTCACAATGTTTTAGTTGTGGATAAGAAAGTTGGTTGAGTAATTCAAAAAGGTACTGCCAAGATATACAAAAGTATTCACAATGTCCAATCTAGTGTCATTAACATAGAGGAGTAAATATTACTTCCATTATTTTTTTTTTTTTTTTTTTTTTTTCAGGCTTATTGTAAGCTTGATGATAGTCAATACCACTGAGAATCTGTCCACCAACACCTGCATGTCCCTCTCAGTATGCGCAACAAATTCAGTGTCATCAGCATGTAATAATTCATGTAGCAGTATCTGGAAATTCTGTACCTGGCATTAAATCTTGAATTGAATACTCCTCCCCACTAGTTCTAATGTGAAAGCCAATTCTGATGCTGAATTTACAAAATGCATATAAACGCATGACATCAAAATGAATGGAAAACATGATGGGTGTGAGAATGTCAACCTGCTTTACACCATTGCCCATGGCTCTCATCTAATAATTCCCCATTGAAAATGGGTGGGCATCCCAATTTAGCAAGAACCCTCCACAGACCTTCTCTATTGACAGTGTCAAAAGTCTTGGTTAAGTCTACAAAAACTTGATATAGAGGAATCTTGTTGAGAAGAAGTCTAGCTAACACCCTTGCCAATAGTTTCAAGTAGTGTGATTCCACAATGGTTATCATACTCTGACTTGGTTCCCTTACCCTTGAGTAGGGTAACCAGGTTGCCATCAAGCCAATTTTGGGGAACCGGTGTTCCTTCCCAGCAGCTTCAAATCAAACTGAAAACAATCGATTTCACAGTCCCCTCCCCAGTAACAATTCCACTGGTATGCCATCCAAACCAGGCACTTTACCTGTGTTGATCTAATAGCAAGGTCTGTTTGTACTCTTGATGCTATAACATCCTACTCCACATCGATGTCATGTGATATACTCTTAATAGCAGCTTAATCCACAATTGATGGGTTGAAGAACAGATTAGTAAAATGTTCCTGTCAGCTCCTCATGATTCCTAGATAATCCTTAATTAATGTAGAACCATCTTTTAGATTTTACTGGAACAACAGAGGCTGAAGATAAAAGCAGCCTTTTGTGCTAACAGCCACATCTTGAACTTCAGCTGAGAACCACCATTATGTTTTCATGTTTCTCAGGCAAGTTTGAAGATAAAAGCAGCCTTTGTTTCAGTGATGAGGTTGGCTCATTCAGAAATATCCACATCAGTTGAGTTCTCTCTCTCAGAAGACATCAGTGCAACTTTGTTTTCAATTTCATTCTTTTTCTGTTTTGCTCAGATAATATTACTAAAGGCATCTGAAAACTGCTGGCACATACCTATCTGCCTAATGCACTTCTGAATTTTGGCCCCAACCAAGCAAACTTTTCTCCTGACTTGCAGTTTGAACTTTCCACAGACCATTTTGTGGTCAGTATCACACTTAGCGCTATGCAACACAAGGACATAGCAGACATTCTTCAGATCATTCCTCTTGGTGACAATAAAATTTATTATGTGACCCTATTTTGATGGTCACATGATAAATTAATGTTACCTTGTGCTTCTCTTTTTTGGTGGAAGAAGGTGTTACAGATAGCTAGGTTGAACTCAGGACAAAGATGCAATAAATTCAGGCCATTTCTGTTTACTTTTCCAATACTGTGATGATTAATCACATCACATACCTCATGCTGTCCTCCCACACATGTGTTAAAGTCTCCAAGTATAATCAATTTTTCCTCCTTGGGAATATCAGTAATGGTTTCCTGAAGGGTGCTGTAGAACTGCATGATTGCCTCATCACTTACTTGGAGAGTTGGGGCATAGACAGAAATCACGGTCATATAACATCCCCACGAAAGAGAAACTCAGTTTCATGATATGATCACTGACACTGGAGAGACAAAGAAAAGCAAATGGCAAAGCCAACTGCCTCTTCTTGTTTCTCACCTATTGATTTTCCAACCCAAAAGATAGTGTATTCCAATTTTACTTCTTCCTCATCAGATAGGTGGGTTTCGGAAGTGCTGCTATATCTGTTAAGACACTGAAGCTCTTTTACAACTAAAGCAGTTCTCTGCTCTGGCCAGCTAGAAACTTTGAGATCAAGCAATGCTCTGATATTCCAGCTGCAAAGGTTGAGTGAGACACATTCCTTTGCTTATCTTTTGGAGTTTCTTGTAGTAACTTTGTTCCTGCAATGATGAACAGAT